GGTGTCATTTTCTGGTTGCTAACGCCATTGTAACACATAATCACTGATGTTCCGCTGTAACGGTGGTGGACTCATCAGAACAGAGTGGGCGAGCTGACCAATCAGAGCACAGTGGGCTCATAGGGAGGGGGGAGCAGGAGCTCCAGCAAGCCGTTTAGGACAGAGAGTGAATACACATACGAACCGGGGATGCTGTATGAGAAACCAATGTGAGTTTGGAAAATTGCATTATATAAATCTATTCTAGTAGACCTCAACAATGGAATTATGATCAGTCGAAATGGCCATGACATGGGACCTTTAAATCTGTTTTGCCATTATTAAAATCACTTTTCACACCCTGACAACAGACCATATCGGAAACCACAAACCTGCCACCTGAAACGTATGTAGGCTTTTTCTATTTCTGGCCGCACTGCAACATTTATGAAGGAAGGCTTTTATCTACTTTCTATCTTTGGTGCCATGTGATAATGGCAGCCGTGTTCTTCCAATAGACGTAATCTTCTTACAGGAAAAACTTCCGATCAATTAGCCAAAATAGTTTGAAGCAAACCACGGCTCAATTCTATCCCCACAGAGACCCCATTTGCGGAACAAGGCTACACTGTTTGGTCCAGACCAATGTCAGGGGAGGTTTCACATTGGCCCTTTTAGTTTGGATCAAACCAAATGACTTCCCGAGGTAGGTGTCCTGAGTCTTCTGAACTACAACTGCTATCACTGCACATGTTGCGTTAATCTGATTAAACCAGATTATAAATGTGTGCAAGTGTACTAAACAACACTTCCCTGGAATTGGTCTGACCCTTCAGAAAAAGATGAATGAGATGCTTAGAACAGTGAAGAGCTTGGGAGAAATAAAACCTCAGATGAATGAGGGATACATCGAGCAATTACTTCTGTAAAATGTATTTCTAATGGCTTAGTTAACAAGCAACAAGATCTGCCTTTTCTCTCTGGGCTTCGATGGTGTTTCAATTTTCACGACTGTTTGTTGGCACTGATTCTAGAAAGCGCCTGTCTGCCAGGCATTGATTAACCAGCCGGGGAAAACAGAGACTCTTACTTAATATTAAAAAGGAAACTAATTTAGTTTTGACTGAAACTGGAGTTTAAAGTTACAGTGTCCTTCATGAAATCCCACAGCTGAGGTTCAAACTGAATAAGAGCCCAATAAGAATTGAATTGTCTGCGAGACGGCTTGCAAAAATAGTTTGAGAGTAGCAGGCAGATGGTGAGAGTTGTGTAGGACAGGATGTACTGAGCGTCAGATTCACAGCTGACTGTATCTGGCACTCGCACCGTGCCACTGTGTATTTGTCTTTTAGGTTTGTGTGCACATTAAAACCTCCTTTTATAACCTATGATTGTTGATTAGGTCAATTTTAGGTTTAAAGTAAGGTTAGTTTGGGTTCATCGGGGTGTGTGTGTGTGTGTGTGTGTGTGTATGTGTGTGTGTGTGTGTGTGTGTGTGTGTGTGTGTGTGATAAATATTTCAGCATCTTTACTGTGACACGACACCACTGGAGTTTACAGTGAGTGCTCACCACATGAAGGAAAGTAATGAATGACCTGCAGGTCAATTTATTTGTGTGTGTGTGTGTGTGTGTGTGTGTGTGTGTGTGTGTGTGTGTGTGTGTGTGTGTGTGTGTGTGTGTGTGTGTGTGTGTGTGTTGTGTGTGTGTGTGTGTTAATATGTCTATGAATGTGTGTAATTGTGTGTTCTTGCTGCACCCGGCCCACTCTAATTGTATTCCTTCTGGATCCCTAGAATTAGTCAGACCCCAAAAAAGCCAATAATTACTACTTCACCTCCATGATACCCACCCTGTGGCAGAGAGAAATGTTCCCATCAGCCCCAGGGGCCGTTAGCAAGCTCTCATCTCAGATTTAGTTACATTCTACTGCATTTAACGTCCTCAGGTGAAACAGGATACGGTAAACAGGGAGTGCGTGTCATCATTTACCAGCCAATGAGAAAAGGCGGGAAAGATCTTAAATATTGTATAGTAGCACTAATCCAAATCTATGAACACAAACCCACACATACACTGAGAAGCATGATGTAAACAGGTTATCTCACACACATCCACACATGCACACATATATACCTCTCAGATCAATAAACAGTGCACAAGTTGGAGTTATGTAAACAGGAGGATCAAAAAGAGGACTGCTGGCCTTGTTGCCCATAGCAACAGTGTTTTTCAAGGCTGATCCACATAGCACTAAGATCTGCTGCAAAGCATGCTGGGATACAACAATGCTTTGAACCTCAGATTATACATTTTTTAGTACAGTTTAATACTTAATAGGGCTGAACGATATATCGTGTCGGCGATAACCGCGATATGCGCGATATTCACATCGCAGAGACGTGCGATTTTATAAAAAAAATTATACATTATTTTTATTTTTTTTAGGACGTGCGATATTAAGTAGGTACATTCACTCAAACACGTCATGTTACAATTATTTTGCTGCTTGCTAAAAAAGGAAAACTTGCGCGGCTCTCATGTCAGGGGTACTTGAGTGAGTGATATGCCGGCTCTGCATGCACAGCAAACCACCAATCACAATCATTCTTGATCAGATCACAGCAGGCCCCGCCTTGCTAGTTTGCAGACCATCAAAACACCGGTAAAAAATGAGCGAGGAACAGGAGGACAATACCGGCGAGAATGAAGATTTACTTCCAAAAAGAAAAGCAACATCTGCCATCTGGAACTATTTTGGATACAAAAAGGTTCTTCTCTTCTTCATTCACAGATGAACCCCCTTATTTGAGGGGAAGCAACATGCATTATCATGACATATTAGATCATGACTTAAGGTATGATGAGTCAACCAGTTAAGATCCAGACGTCCGTGACTAAAATCCTTCATCCGGCTAAATATAGATTAAAAAAACGCAATATATATCGCAGGGGAAAAAAATATCGCAATGTCAGTTTTTTTTCAATATCGTGCAGCCCTAGTACTTAATATTACAATTATGTTTGGCTATAACTTGAATATATTGCAATGTGGTGACAGGGCTCGTGCAGTTTAGTATGGAGTATACAGTATGGAAGACGACAGCCTCACACTAACATTGAATGCATCACAATTCCAATCTATTTTTCAGTGTAATGATAAATAACGTTTACAAAATAGTAATACAAATCTGCCAGGCTTTCCGCCAGATGTGTTCCTACCAAAGGACATTTAAAACAAATCAGTGACATGTCACATGGCACTTTAATGTATCTATTCTGATCCATCAGTCCCAAGAGAAAAAGTGTGTATATGTGAACACACATATTCACAGCACACTGCTGTACCGTATATGACGTAATGCAGACACAGATCAATACAGGCGCTGCAATACGGCCTACTTTACCCTCTGTGGGCGCATTACTCCCACATCCCACAGCCTAGATATGAATGTGGGTCAATACGTCACACACGCTCACACACGCTCACACACACACACTCACTCACACACGCATACATCACTTCAGGGGACATTACATTGACTTACATGCATTTCCTGGAGACTTATCCTAACCTTAACCATAACCAACACATGCCTAACCCTTACCCTTAACCTAACCCTAACCCTAATCCTAAACCTAACCAAGTCTTCACCCTAAAATTAATGATTCCTCTCATGGGGACCTCCAATGTGTCCCCATAAGGGAGGCGAGTCCCCACACGTGACTGTAAACAGATTTAGGTCCCCACAAGTATAGTAATGCTAGGCCACACTCACGCACACACACACACACACACTCTCTCTCACACACACACACATTCTCTCTCTCTCACGCACACACACACACACACTCTCTCTCTCACACACACACATTCTCTCTCTCTCTCTCACACACACACACACAAGTTGTTACATATGAAGGGCAGTGGAAGTAAATCCAGGTCAAACAGGAAGTGGAAAAGAAGCTAGAATGGGTGCTTTGCTGCAGAAATGGATGATTGGTGGTCGATGTAACTATAGACAGTTATCTGTTGTTGATTCAAACAGAGATCAAATAATGCTAATAATATATAATGATTGACAACTGCCATGCCCACTCATTCTGTATCCAATTTCTTTAGATCATATATTGACACGTTTAAAAATTGTAGTGGTTAAGAAACCATTTTAGAAAACAACAACTCATCTCACAGTTTACAGGATGGTGCATTTTTGTTCTGTTGGATATACCATACACTGGAGATGGCTAAAAACAACATAGTTTTGTCTCAGTAACAAGCAGAATATGCAATATCATTTTAAATGCTTGAAGGGTAATTCCAAACTAAATGCATTTCCAACAGCAATATATATATATAAATCATATCAGGAAACCGTTTTAACACATGTTAATGTGCTGGTTTGAATGTGTGAAAGGTAAATGACACTGTTTACAAAAATCCATGTGATAAAGTAGAATCTGGTGTTGACACCATGAGTCCGTGGTTATTGAAAAGAGATCAATGAAGAGGTTTATTTGCATGTCTTTGGTGTGTCTGCAGTGCAATTACATGCTTTGACTTTACAGTAGGCTTTTTGTAGCTGCTTCTTCTGGTGTGCTAATGAAATTCCTTCATTAGACCTATTGGTGTTAATTGATTGCACAGAAATCACACTAATGATGCAGAAATCATCTTCTCTCCCTTAAAATTCCATTTAAATGTGGCACTCAAGACTGGCTGCTAATATATGAGGTAAACAAACCAAAATATTGGCACCCAATAAAGCGACATACTGTAGGAGATGTTATGTTTAATATGTGAGGCGCGACCATAACAACACCAGCTGTACAACATAGTCAAACCGAAGCTTTAAAAATGGATAAAGATACAATTTTTAAAAAATAGCTAAAGTCTGTATATTCTTCAGCTGTGGTTTCCCCTGTATTGAGATTTACTTACTTAGTGGCCTGCCCGAAATGTAGCGTCCAATATCGGACAGTCAGGGTGTTATCAACAAAAATGCATTTGTCGCCATTTACCTGAAAATGGTGAATTCCGTCGTTTGAAGTCGACTCTCCGGAGCAGCCAGGCCCGGATGCCCTCCTCCGCTTTATCCGCCCACTGAAGGAGCACGGTTCAGTCCGAGGTCGGTTTCGTTCCCAAACACTGATAAAAACGTTATTATCCTCCGACACACACCGGGAAATGTGTGGGGTGTGAGGAAGGAGAGCTGGAGACCGAACCCCCAAAATGTCGTTTGTGTGGCGGGGAGAAGAGTTCACAGAGGCTGGAGGAGGATCCTCTGTCGACACCGGAGGGGAATGCAAGCTGACATCAAACACCACGCAGCGGGTCTTCCGGTTCCCTTTAAAAAATAAGAACATTATGACATCACAACTTAAGAGATCAACGTTCTCAAAACAAAAGAGCCCTTAATTAATAATTATTTAAATATGTATAGGTCAATAAAGGCTACATACACATGCATAAATGGATCGAAGTAGTAGTTTTTACCAGTGGTAGTTTTTGGTATCTCATTTATTTTCTGGAGCAAGTGAATGTGATGTAATTAAACCCCTAATAATACAGTAAAATACAATTATATATATTAAAAAAAACTATAGTAGCAGTTATACGTATTTCATCGTAGTATTACATTATATCATGTGTAATTTTAAAACATGATCAACCCGTTTCCGCTCTAATAAGCGAACTGTAGTTAGCTTGACGAAGCTGAGGGAAGCAGGAGGAAATGCAGATACACGAAACAATGGTATCTTTATTGAAATAGCTTCCCTTTATGCTGCTTATTGTAACTCATAACTTTGCAACATTGTACATTTTCAGTGGTCTAACAATAAATATTGTAGAAATGTTTCAATATGCAGTTTTTCCTTTTCTCCAGTCAGCCTTCAATTAAATATTGGACATTCAAGTATTTAATTAAGAAAAACTAACCATACCATAAATACTTCAATCATCTTTTAGAAGGGTTTGACAAAATAAAAAGGTTATAAATGTGTCTCGTTTTAAATGTTAGCAAAATATGCTCAAACGATTCATTTTGAAAATAAATGTATATTATTAGATGGTTGTTTATGTGCTTACCGTTTACAATTTACAATACCATGGTAAAAAAAAATTAAGTTGAAAAGAAGGTTATGAATATTGCATTTCTCCTTCCCTACTTTAAATTATATATTTACTATTAGCCAATCTGGAAAACACACACAGAAACAGTCTATATTGGGCATATATTGGACCGATTACTAATAACTACATAACTAACATTTAGTAGAATTGTGTTTGTGGGGCGCCACCTGCTGGATAAAAACTGTAGTTACTTTATTCAATATATGTTGTGACTACTACTACTACTACTACTACTACTACTACTACTACTACTACTACTACTACTAGGCCTACACTGTAGCTGTGTACGTATGACTAATAAAAGCCTTGAACCTACCCACTAGAATTCAGAGGTAAGTGTTGTACTTTTCCTCCACTACATTTATTTAATATAATAAGTTACTTTGCAGTCAGTCATATTCACAAGCCACCTTGCAGCATAAACTAATTTAAAAAAGCTTCACCTTAACCAGCTTTGATAAACACATTAAGCATCAATAATTATAACACAAATATATAATATAGTATTCTGTAATGGGCCAATCTGCATAATGAGTAATTTTGGTACTTTAAGAATATTTGATGCTTAGCCAGATGCTTTTTTAACTTGAGCAACATTTTGATTGCAGGACTTTTAGCCTACTGACCTCTCATAACCCGCAGTGGGTGACGGTGGAGTGGTTGTTGTCAGTCTGCCCTTTGCCCGGTCACCTGCTACCTCCACTCCATATCGCTGTTTACCGGATCACACCGGGATACAACCCGATTCAACATGTCTCGCGCTGCGGAGAGACTCCGACTGCTAATCAACCATCTCGACCGACCACCTGCCGACATCGTATCCTTTTATTCTCTGTGTGGGATCACCGGGGGCTGCGCAGAGCAGACAGTACCCGACAACTGAGCATTATTCGTGGGCTGCTTTGGTGGGCTAGACCGGGGACCGGGAGTACCACTGAAGGCCTCTGCAGCTAACTATGAATGCGTCTTTTAGCGTTTATAACAAAGGCACTGTGACAATGACGCCGTTATTTAAACGAGGCTGTTAGCAGTATGTAGGCTAAAGGTTGAAATGTAAACATGTATCTATTTATCTATCTGTTTGTTGGAGATAATAGCTTAGAATAACTCAGGAGGCTAACGTTAGTCTGGTTTTAGGTCAGTGGAAGACTATTTGCTTTATATTCTACCTTTGCTTAAAGGTAAATTGTTTCTGCTGCTGTCTCGTTTCCTTTACTGGTTTGTTCAGAGAGCTGAAACGACTGGTGCTTTGAGCTTCAACTCCAGCTACCCTCAGAGACTCAGGTAGGACCATAAACTGTATGAACTCTGTTATGAGTAGGTAGTCTACCCCCTAATTTTAAAGACAACATATTATGCTCACTTTCAGGTTCATATTTATATTTTGTGCCTCGACTGTGACATGTTTACATGCTTTAATGTTCAGAAGTTCTTTATTTCTCTCATACTGCCTGTGCTGCATCACCTCTTTTCACCCTCTGTCTGAAACCAGAGCCCAGTCTGCTCTGATTGGTTAGCTGGTAGGCTCTGTTGTGATTAGAGATGTCCCGCCCCATAGCACTAGCCAATAAAAGCGCTAGTGTTACATAGTGATGTCACTATTGTGGAGATATATTAAATGCAAAACATCTAACTGTATTTAAGTATTGTAACCAGGGGCGGTTCTAGGGGGGCCAGGGGCCCCCCCTAACAATGAAAAGTTTTTTTTAGTTTTTTTTAAATGTATATTTTCTGGTACTCGGTTTGCCAAAAACCGCAGGATTTTGTTTCTGTAATGTGAGATTGTGCAGACACCCTTATGTAAAGTAGAGATGTAACTGTTCATTGCCTTTATTTTTATATACATATGGTGTTAGTGCAAACATTGCACTATAACTTAAGCTGAAGCTAACAGTAATAACTATAAGATCTATCTGAAATAAATAAGTGTACTGAAACAAATACCAATAACTGTATTGCATTGTTTTCTTATGCCCAATTACTTCATACCAGAGGCGTGGACTCGAGTCACATGACTTGGACTCGAGTCAGAATCGAGTCACCAATTTGATGACTTGAGACTCGACTTGACAAAATCACAAAACACTTGCGACTCGACTTGGAATTGAACACCAATGACTCGGGACTTGACTTGGACTCGAGCCTTCTGACTGGAGGTGACTTGATCATTTAATTCAGAGGTCTCCAACACGCCGATCGCGAGCTGCCGCTAGAAGAAAAGACTTCCGTCTGGGAGAGCAGAATCTTCAGCCGCTCCTACTCTTGCTGAGAATCCTTGCAGGCAGGGGCGGGACTTTATTTAGCTGGGCTACCAAGCGGCCAATCATATGCGAGGACACACTAGGATCATACCATTATGTGAAAGAAGGGTGGGGGGCACATAAGGTGTAGTGGTACAGGCCAGCTGCACAGAGTGACGGGGAGACGGATTGGAAAAAGTCAAGAAATTAGCGAAAACCGAAAAAAGAAGCAGCATCTGGCTGCATTTCAATGATAATGGAGAAAGCAAAGCTAAGTGCAGGATTTGTAAAATGAAAATAACCTTTTTTAGTTACCTTTATTTTGGTAACCACTCAGGATTTACTGTCAGAGGTGGGAGAAGTTCAGATCTTGTACTTGAGTACAAAAGCACCAGAGTGTAGGAATACTCGGTTACAATAAAAAAAAGTCCTGCATTCAAAATGTTACAAGTAAAAGTAGAAAAGTATTAGCATCAAAATATAGTTAAAGTACCACCTGCAGAGGGATCTAGATGCAGGTGTTATTTTCCCCATAGAGACCGCCTCGCTGCACATTATCCCTTGCATAAAGATATATTGTGGGTCCCTTATAACATGTTGTACACAGTGGAAATAAACATTCTGGTCACCTCAACATCAGGGATCTTATACATTAAACTCCTTCTGAATCAAACCGTCACGGTAGCCTTACCTTACTGATCCCTCTTAAAATAGAAAAAAAACATGTTACTTTACCAGCAGAGAGAAAATTGATTATTAAATGATTAATGTGACTGATAAAGAGCAAAAGTATTATTCTGTTGATCGATGTCTTACATTTGGTGAAAAACACATAATGACTTGTTTATGACTCGTTGTGTCAAAGTTTAGGACTTGGACTTGACTTGAACTTGCCCAACCTGACTTGAGACTCGACTTGGACTTGAGCACAAAGACTTGAGACTTGACTCGGACTTGAGCGCAAAGACTTGAGACTTGACTCGGACTTGCAAAACAATGACTTGGTCCCACCTCTGCTTCATACTGTCTAGTTCTCTTTTTCGTCCTGCATTTAATGTGCCCCCCTCAGAAAAGAACTGGCCAAATTGGTCTAGAACCGCCACTGATTGTAACCATACAGATGTTTTGACATTGTCCCTGACAAATATATAAATAATAAATAATTTCTCACTGTTCTGCTATCTGTGTGCATTTTAATAGCTGATGATGCAGTCACTTCAACAAATAAACAAGCCCTATTTCTATAATAGCTTGAAGCCAGTTCTATTTCGTATATGGCTTCGCCCTCTAAGGCTATCGCTATTGGGTTATCCCTCTGCGCCCCCGCGCAGCAGTGAAACACTTGTAGTCCACGCCCACCCGCTAGGTGGGCCCCACCCTCGGGCCTCCTTCCGGTATAAGTAGGAAGGGGGCCCGGCAATCTGCTCCCTCTTTTCTTCAGCAACCAGCACAGTACTGAAGCACAGGAAAAGTCAAGTCATGAACAACAACTGTGTCCGTGATTGTCCCTCATGTAAGACGGGGTACATCATGAGCTATGACTTACACGCGATATGCGAATCCTGCCTGGGGCCAGAGCACGCGGACGCGGCTCTCAGCCAGCAGGTCGCTTGTTCGCATTGTGCCCGTCTCCCGTCAGCCGACAGGAAGCGAAGAGCGGACGCTCTAGCTGCTGTGGCTGAGGAGGACGATTGGCCCGTCCAGAACAGGGACGACGGCCTGTCTCTGGAGCCGAGTGCGGGGCAGGAGTCGGACGACTCCTACCCTGTCTCCCTCCATGGCTCGCGATGCGGCTCTCCCCTCCCCCCTGGACGGGGGAGATGGGGTCGGAGCGAGGTACGGGTGTGGCGGCCGAGCACGCGGTCCCCTTCTCCGTGGCCACGGCGCTACCGGCGTTGGGTGGCATTATGCTGGAGCTGCCGGAGATAATCGGCAAAGCAGCAGCATGCAAAGGTCTCCCCGTTCCCCTAGGACGGGAGAGGGTGGCTCTGGACGACATGGCCGGAGTGTTTTCCCGGGTTCAGACGGGCAGGAGTGACCCGATCTGGCCGCGCTTCCCCGCCATTAGGAGGTACCAGGAGGGGGCAGCGGCGACCCTGAGGGCTCCGGTGGCCACCTTTGTTCCCTTCACTAGGGTGGAGGGATTCACAGAGGAGGGTTTTCCAACCACCCCCGCTCTGGAGCCGAGCTTGACGGCGTTCTTTGGGGTTAGGCAGGCCAACTTGATCGCCGGACGGCGCCCTATGTTGGCCTCACCCAAGGACCAGTATGTCGCCCGCCAGGCTGACCGGGCGCACCAATGTGCGTTTCAGGCGTCTGTGGTGGCAAACAACATCGCGTTGCTGGCCAACTCGGTGGTTACGCTGGTGGAGCGGTCCACCACCGTGGCACCAGAGGAGGCGGAGGAGATCGGCAAGGCGGCCAGCACGGCACTCACGCTGTGCGCAGCCGTGGCTGTCTCCCAGGCGAGGATCGCAGCATGGATGAGAACCAGCTGCCTATAACCTATCGGTTAATAGCCAGCAGGGTTCGTTACAAAAGCCTGCGCATTTTAATCTATCGATTAATAAGCTGCAGAGCGGTAACTACGCCAGCTGCCTCCAATCTGTTGATTAGTAGGCAGCAGGGTTCGCTGCAGAGGCCTGGTGGTTATGACTTTTTGGTTATTAAACCACAGACCTCGCGGCATTCCTCTGTCCGAGATACGCCACCTACACACGGTCGCAATAAGCCCATGAGCGCCGTGGTAACGCCTCATGTGGATGTCACTGCACACACCTCCACTCATCCTCTGAGCGTGTACGCGCCTCATGATGAGAGTCGGAGTGAAATGCAGCGTGTGGAGGCCTCCTCACAGCCCTTTCGCTCTAGGCCCACCTTGGGTTGCCTCGGGCAGCGGCGGCGAGGACTCTGGCGTGGCTCGTCGCCATGACGACCACAACACATCTCGAGCATGTGTGCCCGCTCTCAGAGTGTTTCTCGGAGTGGCAGCGCGTGTGTCTGATGGACAGATGGATGAGCAGGCTGATCAGCAGAGGGTACACCCTGCATTTTTGTGTAGAGAAGGCTGGAGCCTACACAGAGGAGGGATGAGAGTGTGGTTTCCTCTGGACGACCTGCTATTTGCTGGCTCGCTCCAGGGAGGAAGTCGCTTTACAGACGGTACATCTCGTATCGCATCTGTCAAAGCCTGGGTTTCATAATAAATTGGAAGAAGAGCTGTCCTCTTCCTTCTCAGACAAATGTTTATCTGGGAGTGGAATTAAACTCAGCCAGCAGAGCGCGGCTCTCGCGGCAGCGAGTGGAGAAACTGACAGCTCTCCTCCGGCATGTCACAACCCACACAGCCCTCTCCGTGACGCAGCTGCTCGGCGTTGGCGTCAGCTGGTCACGTGATGATCCCCTTGGGTCTCTTCCAACAGGGGGACACTCCAGAGGTGGTTCATTCGCTGCAGAAGCCTGCTGTTTTTAACCTATTGGTTTATAAACTGCAGAGCTCGCGGCATTCCTCTGTCCCAGATATGCCTCCTACACACGGTCATAATAAATCCACGAGCACCATTATAACGCCTCGTGTGGACAGCATACACACACCTCTCATCCTCTGGGCGTGTACGCGCCTCATGATGAGAGACGGAGTGAAATGCAGCGTGTGGAAACTCCCTCGCAGCCCTTTTGCCTCACGGGCAGCGGCGATGGCGTGGCTCGTCACCATGACGACCATTACGGCACATCACAGAGAAGCCTCTCCCCCCCCAGCAGTTCCATGGGATACAAGAAACACCGTTATCCCAGGAACAGTGTCTTGCGCGGTTTACTCACGCTATTTTTCTAAATCTCGGAAAAGAACGGGGGAGTCGCCCCGTTGCTGTACAATCAAACATGTGTTGATTTGCACAGACAACAGGCCACGGCTATGGAAGCAGCCTACCTCAATCGCCAGGGAGGAGTACGATCTGCGCAGCTTCTGAACGCAGCCAGGCGGCTGCTGTTCTGGGCGCGCACACACGTTGCTCTCCATCAGAGCAATGTATATTCCCGGCTAATTTAACCGAGGGGCTCGCAGAACGCAGCAGCCGTTGTATGCGAGGAGTATGGAGACTCAGACCTGTGTCACGCACACTGGCGCCTCAGTGGGATTTGGCTTTGGTGTTACGCGCACTAAAGCAAAGTCCCATTTGAACCTGATCAGGTTCCCCTTAAACTGTTTTCAGCCAAAGTAGTACTACTTTTGACTCTATCAGAGAAAAGGGTGAGTGATTGGTCTGCTCTCTCTGTGGCTCCGTCAGCTCTCCGGATCCAAGGAGATGGCAGTTCAGCTGTTTTACGCCTAACCCGGCTTCATGCCTAAGGTCATCACAACTCTTTTAGGTCAAGAGTGATCACCCTGGCTGGCTTATTCCCCCCTCCTTACAGGTCGGAGGAAGAAGCCACGTCTCATCTCCTCTGTCCTGTGCACGCGCTGTCTTGCTATGTGGCGCGCACGGCGGCCTGGCACCGTTCTCAGCGCCTGTTTGTGCACTATAGAGAGCGCTCGATCGGGCAACCTCGGTCTGCACAACGGCTGTCACACTGGCTGTGTGAGGCTGTGTCACAGGCATATGTCTCCTCTGGGGTGGAGCCCCCGGAGAATATCAAGGCGCACTCCACCAGAGGAATTTCCTCCTCCACGGCGTTGCACGGAGGAATGTCAGTGGAAGATATTTGCACTGCTGCATTTTGGGCTTCTCCCTGTTCATTTATTCATTTTTATTTGAGGGATGTCTCCCATTCCTCTCTGACGCACCCTGTACTGGGTGTCCTGTCGGAGTGAGTGACGTCAGGGATCCAGCTGTGCGCCTCTCGGCACACGGAGAGCGGCCCTTTTCCCCTCTTATGAGAGGGATGTTCCTTTTTCCTCTGACACACTTTGTACGGAGTGCCTGGTCAGAGTGAGTGACGTGACGTCAGGGATCCAGCTGAGCGCTCTCCTACCTGTCTGATACGCAGAGAGCTGCTGTTCCCCCTCTATGATCGCAGGACAAGGTGGGACCTTCGTCTCTACTTTCTCACAGCGGCCGGTATGTATTGTTCCCAGCCTTCACCCCGTCGGGAAGACAGGCATGTTTTGCTATGTTCCAGGGACGGTGATGCGCCATTACGCATGGCACAACAGGCAGGGGGGTGTTATTGAGCAGGTGTGTCTGTGCTTCTAGTGCCGGGCGGACCCAGTGGGGCGCAGACTACATCATGCTTCGCCCTTAACCCAATAGCGATAGCCTTAGAGGGCGAAGCCATATACGAAATAGAACTGAGGTTACCTACTGTAACCCAGCTTCTATGAGTAAATGGCGCAGCCCTCTAAGCGCTGGGCCCCACTGGCTCTACGAATAGCTGAAGAAAAGTTATATTGTATGGGAGCAGATTGCCGGGCCCCCTTCCTACTTATACCGGAAGGAGGCCCGAGGGTGGGGCCCACCTAGCGGGTGGGCGTGGACTACAAGTGTTTCAGTGCTGCGCGGGGGCGCAGAGGGATAACCCAATAGCGATAGCCTTAGAGGGCTGCGCCATTTACTCATAGAAGCTGGGTTACAGTAGGTAACCTCAGTTCATGTTAGAAGCAGCTTTGTGTAACTAAACAGATCAAGGTTCAGATCTCTTTACACACACACAAGCAAACACACAGACTAACCTTACCTCACACATTGATATTGTTGCGTGTTATCTCTCTTTGGTAGATATAGCTGGGATACCGACCTGCTGACCCCAGATCAGCGACTCTCTTATGAAGAAAATGGCTTCATCCTCATCAAGAATCTGGTGCCTGAAGAGGACATCGACAGGTTCAGGTGACCATCCGAAACGTACAAGCTTATTGAACCTATTATTGAAAACTTACGACATATGTAGTTTCTAACAATATGCTGTATATTTGTATTGGAATGACATATTACTGACCTGGTGGAGCACGCACCACGTATACTGGGGCTCAGTCCTTTCTGCAGTGACCCTTTGCTGCAAGTTGTTCCCTATCTTTCCCATTTCCCTTATATCCTCAGTACTCTTTAAGAAAAGTTATTACATATAAAATGTCAATCTGTGAATTCACAGTAAAAAAGCTTATAGATCTACCGATGCATGAAGGTTCTTGTGCGTCTGCGTTCTTTAGGAGTGCGTTTGAACGGATCTGTCGGCAGGAAGTGAAAGTTCCCGGTCTGATGGTGATGAGGGACGTGGCCATCGCTAAGTCAGAGTTTGTTCAGGATCAAAGAGCGGTCTCCAAACTCCAGGATTTCCAGGAAGATGCTGAACTGTTCCGATACTGCAACTTACCACAGGTATAAAAACACACACATATTATACAGAGATCCATAGAACAACTTTGTGTAGACGATGGTGCACACTTGTGGAAATATCTGAAATCCCACAGTCCAAGGAAAGAGGATTACAGCTCTTCAACAAAAAAACCTGCCAATAAAAATATATTACTATGATAATGTAATCAAAATTTGAATACAACATATTAATAATAACAGTTTTTCTTTAAAAAGAAGCTTGAATTTGAAATAATTTAAACTGTTATGTGCTTTTGCATGTCAGGTTCTGCAGTATGTGGAGTGCTTCACTGGACCCAACATCATGGCAATGCATACAATGCTCATCAACAAACCTCCTGATGCAGGTATACAGCTATTCAAAAATATTTACAATAATCTGGTTTCTGTTTATCTGGAGAACCAGCTACAGCAGTGTCATTTTGGGATCAGTAAGCATCATAGGAAGCCTCATACAATTATCAACTGTTGATTCAGGGAAAAAGACGTCTCGCCACCCGATGCACCAGGACCTGCACTACTTCCCCTTCCGCCCCGCAGACAAGATCGTCTGCGCCTGGACGGCTATGGAGAAGGTGGACAGGCAGAACGGTTGCCTGGTGGTGCTGCCAGGGACACACACCGGCACGCTGAAGGAGCACGACTACCCAGAGTGGGAGGTACTCAAACACACACCTGAGAAAACCCCTGCTACAGGAACACACACACACACACGAGAACACCTGCTACAGGAACACACACATGAGAACACCTGCTATATGTAACTAAACTTTCCTGTATTTCCTCAGGGCGGTGTGAACAAAATGTACCATGGAGTGCGTGGCTACGACCCGCAGCATCCCAGGGTGCACCTGGAGATGGAGAAGGGCGACACCGTCTTCTTCCATCCGCTGCTGATCCACGGCTCAGGCATGAACCAGACCCAGGGCTTCCGCAAGGTACTACACTACCCATAATCCACCTGTGGCCTGTACTACAAAGCAGGGTTCAAGTGGGGTAACTTCAGGGTTCACCTGCACATATAAAAGCTCTGTATACCTACCCATGGATGGAAAGAGCCTCTACGGAGGAGAATAAATATAGTCTTGTTTGTGATTGGTCATATGCTGCAAACATTTAATCATAACGCAATTGTAAACATTTCAAGTAAATATTGTGTTTTTCCAGGCCATCTCCTGCCACTATGCCAGCGCTGACTGCTTTTACATTGATGTGAAGGGAACCACCCAGGAAAACATAGAGCAAGAGGTGAAGGACATCGCTAACAGGAAGTACGCGTTGGGCAACGATATTACCTTCCAGGTCAGACATCTACATTCATACATGTTTAAAACGTTCCCTTCTACAAGTGACAACACAACAGGAATGTACTTGATACAGTCAGATTGGATATTTACATACCAGGTGGCAGTTTTATGCTAATATGTAGCAACAGCTCAGATATTAGGGTCTACTTAATGTTAGAATTACACTTAGCAGACTTGTTATGCAATGCTCAGCCTAACTTCATCATTTCTAGTGTTAGGAGGAGCACAGTTATCATCCACCATCCCAGAAATAAGTGGAATGCGCTCACCAAGTAGCAGGTCATTGTGATCTATTTTTACAATTCATCCAATGTGTCTAATAAAGCATAAGCAAATTGGCTAAAGCTAAGTGGGGGGGGAAAAAGCCCCCATTGTTTAGTTTTAAGGTACTTAGTGCAATGTATCTGCCTCTAGAAATGTCTAACCCTATGTTAGTAAACTGAGTGATTGTCCTTGTTACATAATGCAGTTGTATGGGGTAACATGTACAAATCTACATACTCAGAAGGTTTGTTTTGATTAATTGACTAACTGTTTTAACAATCCCAGGACACCTGGGCCTTCAGAGGCCGCCTGGTGCAGGGCGAGAGGACTTCACTGTGAAGAACCACGCGCACGATGCAAGAAACGCCGCGTCATGACTAAGCAGACATTGATGATTGTGTGACTGGATAAGAAGCAGCAGTGACGTGATCAGCAAAGTCATAATCTTGTTTCCTAATTGTTCTTATCATGTAATCCCTCACTTTTGATTTCATTTAGATGACATTAGATTATTTAATGAGGCTTAATTAACATTAATTAGGCTTAATTAACATTTGGAAATTTGATGTAGAGCATGTTGTTCTCACAGAGGATATAAGGACTGGAGACACTGTTAAAAGCAGAATAAAGTACCTGCTGCTGCTGTTCTTGCTTTACAGTATTTAACAGCACAACAACTGAGAATCTGGGAGTTTAATTATGATTATGAAAAGTAATCGTAAGGTGTGATTATGAAGGTAGAGGGGGGTTGAGAGTAAGAGTAATACATGTATCAAAGTAGAAATGTGTAAATATAACTGTGAATTGTAGCTTTTCTTAATGAACACTAACAGAGGCCTTATACATGTTCTAGTGGGATGATTCAGTGAATTCATGTTTGTGGGACAAATGTTATATTTGAATAACAAATAATAAAAATGATGGCTATATTATTAAGATCCCGTTTCATTTTTTTTTACAGGCAGTTATATTTTGTATTTATAAGTATTACATAAGATAAAAAGGATAGAGGGAAAAAGTGTTAGGGCTGAAAACATGTCACACTAGAGGCAAAAAATACAATTATGAACCTGAAAATGAGCACAATAGGGCCCTTTAAAAAATATGAAGGCTATCAACTCACCCCAAATAAGCAATCATTTACAAATATCAATATAACAAGCATGCACGTTCATATATTTGTAAAATCACACTCACAGCCAGCAGTTGCTCACACACAGGCTCATTAGCGGCTAAATGTTTCCCAGACTGCAGACCTGTCTCTGCCCAGTTTCCTTCACAGGAAACTCATATTTCACCTCATCACACAGACAGAGGAAAAATCCACAGCAGCGGATGTACACTTTCATCAAAACTCCTCTCACACAGTTCTATAGCTCGCTGCAGCGTTTAACGTAAAGATAAAAGCTGAGATAATTCTCACCTGGAGGGGAAATGAAGGGGGCCAAACTGTTACCACCTGCTGTAAGGAAAAAGTTGCTCATTCATATGGAAAGTAGTAGAGAGAGAGCATGTCAAAAAGACAACAGCAGGTTTGTTTAACTCTCTAAGTTTACTATAAACCTTTAATAATACGCAGTATAATATTACCTACATTCTCTTTTCTTGCTAACAACATCATACATGCACCAGAGGGCTATTAACATCCACGATGAATCTTTGCTACCATGCATATTTTTAAGATCTGAAAGCTTACATAAATAAAAAAGGACATTGGACATGATGTCTTTGTCCTCTCTCTCTAAAAAGGTACTCAGACTTCCATCTGGTTCTCATTCTTTTTTACACCTTAGCCCATCCCTCCTCCCTGTTTTCTTCTTCTTCTTCTTCTCCCCTGGGCATGCGATAATCCAGCAGCAGCAGCAGCCTTCCTCCCTCTCTGGGTCTCTATATTCCTCCTCCCACTGTCTCCCACCTTCCTCCCTTCGTCCCTCATCCTCTCTCGATTCAGTTCTGTTAGGTGTCCTGTGAAGTATAGAGTTCTTGCTTTTCTGTCACAAGATGTCCTGGACCCGAGTCTTCGTGCTCTCCTTGCTCCCCGCCCTCCTCCTCCTCCACCTCTGTGAGTACCTGGGTTGGGGACAACAGGGACATGATTTTTTATTTTGGATTATACATTCTCAAGGAAGTTAAGCAAGGTTTTGAGAATAGGTGCAGTCCTTCTTAACCAGTGGATAAAACTGGTAGTCGCCTATTTTGTTGCTTTTTACCTTTTAAGAGTATTTTTGAATTAAATTAAATTCCCTATTTATTTGCAAATGTCAGCTTAATAGTAGCCAGCATTTGTAATTTAAGAGGAATAGGGCTCAGTGGAAATTACTCTGTAAAACTTTTGTAAAAGTTCTAAAAGTCCATTTGTTTAATACATACTGATTTTCAAATTGAATTGCATCAAAGATTTAAGTCATTTAAAATAAAGAGATTGTCCACAAGAGGACAACTGTGACCTCTCAGTAAACATGGCATTATTACAAAAATAGATATAGATAGGGTGGGCAGCACCATACATGAGGTTTGCATGGTCTTCTTTAACATTGGGAAAACACATTTAAAAAAAAGTCATAGGCCAATGATTTTTAGATTAATCTTAATCACATGTAAAAATACTGTTGCAAATTCAAAGATTTCAAAGATTGTACATTTCTAAATCTAAGTACACACAAACACTTTTAGATGCAATTTAGTGTGAAGTGCTTTAGTGTAAAGGCATGAAATTAACATTTCTTCTTCTCCTCAGTTTCCAGTGAGGTGGAAAGCGCAGCAGTCAAGGACCACTCAAAACCACACGATCACAAAGGTGACATGTTTTTTGATCGGTTTCACAAACTTCCTTTCTACCTGACCTTCACCTTCTGACCTCTGACTTTTAGGTGCAGCACGGCAGGTTTTCATGCCCGAGTCGGACGCATCCAGCTTCATCAAACACCGCAGTCGCCGCTCAACCCGGTACTACGAGATCCAAAGTAAGCTATCTGTTTAAAAACTGTTATCGCCAGGAAAAAATACTTTGTGCTGTCTGACACCTTATTGGCAGAAAGCCATAAGGATCATGGGTAAAGAGGTTGGTCTGAATATGTTTATTTATAATTTTAAATGTATTTATATATTGTGGTATGTGTGGCTGATGTGGTCACACACACAATTATATGGCATGTTTGGCCTTCTGTACGGAAGCCAGTATATATATGTGTGTGTGTGTGTGTGCGCGTGCGTGTGTGTGTGTCAGTGTTGATTTAATGGTTTGGTATTTGGACTCTGAGGATGATATGGTTTGATGCTTGCAGGCTGAAGTTCAAGAGCTGTATAGCAAAAGAGTATAGTAGTATAGAAAATAGAGTAGTAAGGTACAATACAGACCAGGGACGTGCACAGACATTTTGGGGGGCGGGTGCTCAAGTGAGAAAAAGGGCACTTCCCATAATCATTTATAAAAAAGTGTTTTAAAACAAAAAGTTAAATATAGTTGCACATCTCTGACTTACTGACCAATTTATTTGAATACCCTCACACTCACGCAATTGTTTAATACTCAACAGAATTCTACAAAAATAATCAACACAGAGACAATGGTCTTATTTAGTATTCACAATGCACAAGAGCAGACAACAAACTAGTACAATTAATAGTTATTAAATGAGCAGCCAACAATCACAATTATGAAGTTACTGTTTAAGGACATTATAGGCAAAAATATTGTTTTTTCATGTACTTGTTATTTTTGGTCTATTTTGCTTCCATGTTTTCTTTCACTCTAATGGAAATAAAACTTCCAAGAAACACATAAATGGTGTTCGTTTTACTACCATGTCTGAATTCATCTAGATTTAAAGCTAATCTGCATATTTAAACATACAATTTCAGGGGAAAATACTGATTTGACGTAAGTAACTATCTGGGGAAGTTGTGAGGTGATATGTTTTTTTGTTTTATCCTTGCAATGCCTTGGTAACTGCATGCAAATTAGCGCATTTTAATTAGGATATCAATGTGGCGATTGTGATTATGTTATTAGATTCACATTAGCCTGTATGCCCATGATAAATTGCCTTAGCTAAACCTTGAGCTAACTTGTCCATTAGCTAGTAGCCTACCTAGTTAACTATATTTGTTATCGTCTTTTAGCTAATTAGCTTTAAACTTGAGGCACTGGCAGTTTAGTAATTTGTTCATCACCACTCACCTTCAAAATAAGACAAGAAAAGCCGGCATAACATGGCACAGTAAAGTGGGAGGTGCTGCTACCTGACTGTTTGAAGGGACTGCCGATGTCGTGACGTGGAGGGAGGGTAGAGAGCATCGGAACGTCACAGTCTAATCTCCCGACCTGATATTTTTTATTTTTTATTCAATGAATATATTTTTGGAAAGGGAAACTGTGCGCAAACAGCAGTAGATACATATTCATTTATAAAAAAAATAAAAAAGGGGCACTTTCTCTGGAGGAAGAAAAAGGGCAGGGGCTCAAGCCCACTTTGATGTGTATGTGTGCAAGTGCCACACACACACACACACACACACACACACACACACACACACACACACACACACACACACACACACACACACACACACACACACACACACACACACACACACACACACACACACACACACACACCACACACACCACACACACACACACACACACACACACACACCACACACACACACACACACACACACACACACACACACACACACACACCACACACACACACACACACACACACACACACACACACACACACACACAGCAGGCTGCAGAAGGAGTCACAGGGCAGTATGGAGCGAGCTGCTCTCCCTCTCAGTTTCTCAATACAATAAGCTCATTCTTCCACTGCCAGCATCAGTACGATAGACCATTATACTTCAAACCAAATGAACAAATACACAGAATATATCAAATGTTTCTGGAGAGGAACTGACTTTCATACTCTTTCACCAAAATAACATTTCAAACAATCACTCTTATAACGCCTGCAGATCTCTTCAGTCTGTGCTTGTTATTTCATCTTGGAGCAGGCTTCTAGAGACATTTTTGGCTCAGCTCTTGTTTCTTTCCCTTTTCCTTTCCACAGTCGAGCAGAGGGTAAAGATTGCTGCAAGTGAGCAGAGAAGGGAGTACAACGAGGAGCAAAGGACTGAGCAAGAGCACTACGTGGAGGAGGTGCGTGATGGTGAGACCTGGACCTACAACTACTATCCGTTGAATGCTTTCCTCTTGAATATGAGGGAAGAGACATAATGCTTTAATGACAAAAAAACTTTAATTAATTCCAACTTCTTCAAATAATAAACAGTATGTTCACCCCTTTCACATGGACTACAATTACAAACATTTAACATTACCATCAATCAATCAATTGATTAATTGTATTTATGTAGTCCAGAATCACAAATTACATCTTTGTCTCAGGGGGCTTTAGAATCTCTACAGCACACCCTTTGTCTTTAGATCTTTGCAGCGCACGAGATAAAACTCCCCAACGAAACCAACAATCAACCAGGGAATATGAAAGAAACTGCAGGAGAGCGACAGAGGACGGTGTTCCATCACTGGAGAAACATGAAGCATGGACTTCATGTCAGTAAACACAAGATTTACGTGCCAGTCGCCACAGGAGGGTTCACAAAATAACACATGGAGGAAAGCGAGTGTGTGGACCTCAGAGACACCAAAGTGTCCATTTGTGGTCCAGCCTAAGTCGACAGTGTTCCTGCGGTCTGCTGTGATAAAGATGCAGCGACAGCTTCTAAACTTAGACTTGCTACCCACAAATATAATAATAATAATAATATATTAATTTTATATAGCGCTTTTCTGGACCCAAAGACGCTTTACATTTGGGAGGGGGGGTATACAAACAAAACAAAAAACAGAGACAAAGCCAAAAAGAAACAAAACACAACAGAAAAGCAGTCAGGAGGAAGTTGATTAAGAGGGGGGGGGCTTTATAGATAAAGAGTTGAAGAGGTGGGTTTTGAGGTGGGACTGGAACAGGGTGAGGGACTCAGACTCACGGAGATCTTGGGGGACTGAGTTCCAGAGCTTCGGGGCAGCCACAGAAAAGGCTCTGTCCCCGAAGCTCCGGAGTTTGGCCTTGGGGATTGAAAGCAAACCGGCTGAGGTGGATCTGAGGGACCGGGGTGGTTGGTAGAGGGTGAGGAGGTCAGTGAGGTAGGGGGGGGCAGATGGTGGAGGGCTTTATAAGTGAGGACCAGGAGTTTGTAATTGATGCGGTGTGTAACGGGGAGCCAGTGGAGTTCTTTGAGGACCGGGGTGATGTGATGCCATGATTTGGTGTGGGTGAGGAGTCTGGCGGCTGCGTTCTGGACACGCTGGAGTCTACTGAGGGAGGTGGAGCTGATGCCGTAGAGGAGGGAGTTGCAATAGTCAAGGCGGGAGGAGATGAAGGCGTGAATGAGTCGCTCAGCTGCAGGGCGGGTGAGAGAGGGACGGCGTTTGGCAATATTGCGGAGGTGGAAAAATGAGATTTTGACAACATGACGGATGTGGGGCTCGAGGGAGAGGGTGGGGTCAAATATCACGCCAAGGTTGCGTGCCTGGGTGGAGGGGGAAACAGGGGTGCCATCAATGGTGATTGTCAGGTTGGGGGTTTTGCTGATATGGCTTTGAAATATGTGTGTTTGTTTCTGAGATACAGTGTTTTGGGTCAAAGAGATGTTATAAGAAAACAAAAATATCTCCACATAGCCATGGAACACTTATTGGTCACATTATAAGAGCACATTCTCGCAAAACTTTTATATAAAACAAATCTAGATTGTTGGGTCTTTGTGCTGCTTTTCTTTCAATGTCAGGGGAATATTTCTCATTGATTATTGATGTGTTCAATGCACTAATTTTAGTACTCGTCTTAGAGCGTAGAACCCTGTGTTGTGTTCGAAAGCTGTTACCGTTCATGGTGTTCGCGGGTCAATTTTGACCCATGATTTATTTCGGTCCAAAACAGTAAAAAATAATAACTATCATCCAATATTGTTTTAACTACATCATAACTAACTTATTATGCATTCATAACCGTACAATCCTGTTGTAAATGTATTTTATGGCCCCAAAACACATTACACCACATATTGCACACGTGCATGTGTGTGTTCAGGTTCAATTGTTAGTGTACATATTCTTTGAGAAAGGTCGAGTTCCCATGGGGGGAGGGGGGCCAAGGGATGGCAGACCAGGTGCATGTTGCGAAAAAATTATTGTTACAATGGATGAAGGGGGTGGGGTGTCTAAAGTCAAAGATGAATCTTGATTGGGCCAAATTTGACCCCGAGTCACCCAAAAACAATTCTGCCGGGTCTTCCCAGACCCGAACACCAAATTATACACTTTAGACTTGGCTAACATTGTCAAAATCAGTTTTGTAGTGTTTATATAGCTGTTGTGGAGGATATCATGAAGCCTTGTTCCGATAAAAAAAACAGAGCGTAGTTATTATATTACATTACATGTCACTTGTTGACGCTTTTATCCAAAGCGACTTACATACTCAATACTGTGGACAATCCCCACAGGAGCAATTTGGGGTGAAGTGTCTTGCCCAGAGACACAACGACATGCTGATTACAGTGGGGTTTGAACCCGGGGCCCCCCTGATCCGAACACCAACTCACAACCCACTGCACCACACGCCTCCCGTATAATTTTAACTTGAAACGGGTCATGGGAGACCCAAACACAACATAAAGGTTAAATGATTATGTAAATGTGTGTGTGGACTGCCTTCTGGTAACTTATTTTGTTGCTTTCTGCAATTGGAGAAAGGGCAAGCATGAAGATGTAAAATACAAGAGGCCCCGTAATGGAGCCTTGGGGAACTCCACAATATGTGCAATTACCTGTAGAAAACCTAGTGTGCTATAGGTATGATTCAAAGTTTGCTTTTATCTAACTATGCTTGATTATAAAATGTGGCCATATGGTTGAGGAGTGATTACCTATTAGGAAGCCTACTCATAAAACCGACTTCACCAATACTGAATCTCATGTAGCAGATAGTGTATTCGACTGAGATTTTTCGCCTTAAAAAGCTGCCTGCTGTCGCTGTAGATACTGATGAGGGTGGTGAGAGTGAACAAATCAGTAAAGTAGTTGGCTAAAAAAACAAAACAAAACAAATAGCTCACAGATGTTACAAAGCACCTAAGAGTAGAACTGCAAAGTCTGCTGATAATTCTCACTACAATCAAACCCTGTCATATATACAAATATTGATATTGAGACACTTCTACTTTTGTATCCACAGAGCAAAATGAGAGAACGAGGGAGACCAATGAGCAGTATCGAGAGTATCACTATGACGGCTTATCTCCTCAGTACTACTGGTTCCACTGAGAGCGCTCATACTGCCTTCACCTGTACTACAGTATACTGCCATCCTTTGTACCAGAGTATACTGCTAATACTGTCTTCACCTGTACCGCAGTAGTACCGCCGTCCCATGTACCAGAGTATACTGCTAATACTGTCATTTCCTGTACCTCAGTATACTACTAGTATGTCCATCAACTGTACCAGAGTATACTGCTAGTATTGTCTCTACTGCAATCACAATTACAAGAGTATACTGTTAATACTGCTATCAAGTGTACCAGAGTGTACTGAAAGTACTACTAATACTGCCATCAACTGTACCAAAATGATACTGCTAGTACTGCTTATACTGCCATCACCTGTACTAGAGTATATTGATAATACTGACATCACCTGTACCAGAGTAAACTACCAAAGTTGTGTCTGTTTTCCTACTTTCATCAACAAGATAAACAATTTCTTTACTTCTTATTTGTAACAAAATTGTTCAATATGTATCTCCATGAAAACTGTTAAATATATAATAAGCACAGTTTTTGTATTAAAGGCCACACTTTATCATATTAAATGTAGTCTCTATGCTGTGCATGCTTGTATTTACTGCTTTTTTTTTTACATTGAAGCAACACAATGCCCTGTCTTTGTTTTAGTAGCAGCAACAAAACAAACTCTTACTTTACAGTTTTTCTCGATTGCTAACACACTAAAATTATACATAAAGCACTATTATTTTAACTGACACTCAAAGAGCAAAACAACTTTTTCAGCTTTTCACACAATTTGCAAATCAACATGGCACTTTTTGCAAACCACTGCACACGTTTCTCCACGTAAGACACAGGAATCTGACATAAAGTCACGTGTTAGCTGGTTTAAAACACTGATATTCAAAATGCCTCACACATGGACCAATAATCAAGAAACACGTTCCACCTGATGTGTTAGCATAATTGTTGGCTCATCAATCAGGATGTTAGCACTAAAAAGACCACAGGTGAGTACTTTCTTACAGCAACAATGGAAGCCAACATGGAAGCATGAGCAAGAGCAAGAGGAAGAGGAAGAGCTGGGCTGAGAGTGAGAAGAGGAGGAAGAGTACTCTCTTATGAAATGAAATGTTATCAACCATGGTTTGACGATGAGAGAGGCTGGACAGAGGGTTCAGCCTAATCTAAGCCGATTTACTGTTGCCTCTGTAATCCGGACACTTAGATTTGAAAACAGGTTAATTACCAGTTTTTAGCTCTGCCTAACTCATGATATATCAGTGCTTACTGTATATCTGTTGTGTGAAACATATTTACTTCATTACTGTAATTGAGTTGTTGGCATGTTGCATACTATAACTGTACAAGAATCCTGCGCAATTTACTGTGGTAAACTTACTTTTATGCAACACAGACACTGACCAACCACTATATCTTTGTTGTTTATCTGAAGGACTGAGAAAAAAAAGAGGTGCAGTTGGAAGGCTAAGGATTTTCTATGAGGCACAGGAAGCAGCAGTTACAAACTGGGTTTTGGCAAACAATGCATCACACTCATCTTCCTATTATACACACATGCATTTCCAAACATTTGGACTACCTATGTTGTAAATGTATTATCTTTTCAATTTACACACGGCATCTATTGCACGTCTGTCCGTCCTGGGAGAGGGATCCCTCCTCTGTTGCTCTCCCTGAGGTTTCTCCCATTTTTCCCTTTAAACTGTGGGTTTTCTCCGGAAGTTTTTCCTTGTACGATGTGAGGGTCTAAGGACAGAGGGTGTCGTATTGTCATACTGATATTCTGTACAAACTGTGAAGTCCACTGAGACAAATGTAACATTTGTGATATTGGGTTATATAAATAAACATTGATTGATTGATTGATTGACTTGGAGAGATCCGAAGCATGTGCATGTGAACTATGTGAACTATGTGCATGTTGCACAATGTTATTTTTGAATAAAATGTGATTTTCTGTATACTCAAGCAATCTTTCTCTGCAGAAACCTCTATGTACAGAGCATAGCCCATAACAGATGAAAGTGCTTTAGATTATGCTCAGCAGTGTGTAGTTGGGTGGTCAAACAATCTAGTATTATGAATGAAGTGTGTTATATTTGGTGCAAAAGTTTGCATTTGGTAAGTGTTTATGTAGTTTTGAGCGCAGTTCTGGTGTTTTGCACTTTGGGTGTGTGTTTTTTTTAAATTGTGTTTAGTGTTCTGAGAAACTGAGCAATTAAAAAAAAAATGTGTGTTAGCAATCGAGAAAAACTGTAAGAGCCAAAAGAAACTGTCTGAGTCAAAATGACTTTCCTGATTCCAGGCCACTGATGTGTTTTTACTTAGCTTAGCACCGTCTGGTATGTGGAGTATTTAAAGGGAGGGAGGCGGTGTGGAGTAAAGGAAAAGATGAGGAGAGCTGCAGAAATCATCAGGCTGATTCCAAATTTCAAAGTGGAAATATGAAAGTGAGCCAAGTCAGAGGAGGAAAAGGAAGGGAAAACAGGAGCGATCGGATAATAAACGCTAAATAAACCATGTGTCATGGCCCTCTGTGCTTACTATTCACAAAGCTTCCAGTAATGACATAACTTCTTACTGATAGAATCAAGAATTACTTTTGTTTTAAAGCAACCTGGCTAATCTGCATGTCATTATTCTTCCTACATTTATCAGGTAAGCTTTCAACACTGGATGCAGGATTTAGGTTTGCTGTATGGGGCTTGTAGAGGCCTTTGATACAACACATCCCTTCACCTAAACACAACCAGGGATACAAGTGCTTACCATTACGTGGGTATATACCTTATGACAGTAATGCATTGTGTGATTTCTTAAATTTGAATGACTCTACAGCAAGAGGACCTGAAAGAAAAAGCTGCTGATTTAGATTGCTGAAAGTGTTTCCTACCTCAGACAGCAGCTCGAAACATGAGAAGAAACTATAGTTACGGCTGTAACTACGGTTCTATGAGTCCCGGATGACCGCCAGAGGCGGTGCTTTAGCACTGGATATGTCCATCGCGCGCATGCGCAGCTCGAGTACCAATAACAACAAAGTCACCTGTGACCCACGTGACACCAGCTATATCAGCCGGTGTCGTTAGAGGATCTGTTCCCAGAATCTTTTCGTGAGCACACAACAATTCTGAGTGACAGGATACTCTGTGATAGAACCGTAGTTACAGTACAGCCGTGACTATCGTTCTATTTCGTCCCTACTGACCGCCAGAGGCGGTGCTTTAGCACTGGATGACCTATACCAACCATGTCATGAAGAATCCAAGCACTTGCTCACCTAGCTGGAAGCAGCGGAGCTTGGCAACAAGACCACACCCAAAGGGTGAGGAGTGGCGACATTGACCCGGTAGAACCTCGAGAATGTGCCAGAAGACGCCCGTGACGCCGCGGCGCAGATGGTCTCCAGGGGCACCCCTCTTAGGGCAGCCCACGATGTTGAGATGCTTCTTGTAGAGTGGCATCCGACCCCTGATGGTGGGGGGCGGCCACTGGCCCCATAGGCATATGTGATGGTATCAACCACCCAGTGGGACAGCCGCTGCTTCGAGAGAGCACGACCCTTCCTAGTGCCGCCATGGCAAACGAAGAGCTGCTCTGACTGCCGTATACAGGCCGTAGCATCAATATACGCCCTCAGGGCACGGACAGGGCACAGCAACTCAGGCATGCCGTTCTCCTGTGAAATGTTAAAGCGTGCCAGCTGGGTAGGCTGATTGGAGTGGGCTAGTGGAAGCACCTTGGGCAGGAACGCCACATTCGGCCAGAGGGCAACACCCGAACATCGGAGTTCCACCTCAGGCATGTACTGCTTACGGAGAGGGCATGAAGCTCTCTGACTCGCTTCCCTGAGGTTATGGCAAGCAGAAATTCTGCCTTCAGGGACAGCCACTTAAGCCCGACCTGGGCCAAGGGCTCGAAGGGATTTGCACTCATACTGTGCTCGAGTGGATGGAGCTCTGACATTCAGGATAGGTGACTTTGTTTCCCTGACAGATGCCGTGAAACCACTCAACAGTGGGTTGGGCCCTGCAGAGGCCAAACCCAGAGCTGAAGGCGGTGAGGGTCGGGATGCCAAATCTGACCCTTGAGCTGTGACAGAAGGTCCTTCCTGTCGGGGAGACGCCATGGTGGGCTGCAGCAGAGACGGGGCAGCAGTGGGAACCAGACTCTCCCCGGCCAGCGGGGGGTGACTAGAAGGAGCCTGTGCCCCTGAGTAAGTACCCTCTGAAGCGTCTGCAGTATCAGAGGCAGCGGCGGGAAGGCATACAGGAGAGCGTCCGGCCAGTCGTGCGCCAGGGCGTCCTGCCAAGGGACGTGCACAGGTACGGGCTACTGTTGCCCGGGCAACGTTCCTTTTGCAATTTTTGGCTGACCTGCCCCTCTGGAATGAGCAAGAGGTTTATGTTTTTTCTGTGGCCGAATAAACATGATAAGCCCACAATTAGTATTGTAGCGTCTCGCTGCGATAAAACACACATTACATTACATTACATTGCATTTAGCTGACGCTTTTATCCAAAGCGACTTACAATAAGTGCGTTCGTCCAACAAAATACAACTTGAAGAAAACAGAATCATATAAGTACATCAGGTTTCATAGAGCAAAAACATTTCAAGTGCTACTCAACTGGCTTTAGAAAAGCCAGTCCTTTATTAGTATAAAAGTGCTTCATTAATAGTTCTATCGCTCGAAGTGGAGTCGAAAGAGATGAGTTTTTAGTTTGCGCCGGAAGATGTGCAAGCTATCTGCCGTCCTGATGTCAACGGGGAGCTCATTCCACCATCCTGGAGCCAGGACAGCAAACCCACGTGTTTTCGCCGTTGGGAACTTGGGTCCCCCTCGCAGCGAGGGCGCAGCGAGTCGTTTGGCTGATGCAGAGCGTAGTGCACGCGCTGGGGTGTACGGTTTAACCATGTCCTGGATGTACGAAGGGCCAGATCCATTCGCAGCATGGTAAGCAAGTACCAGTGTCTTGAAGTGGATTCTAGCAGTTACCGGAAGCCAGTGAAGCGAGCGTAGGAGCGGAGTAGTGTGGGAAAATGTAGGAAGGTTGAAGACCAGACGAGCAGCTGCATTCTGGATGAGCTGCAGAGGTCGGATGGCACATGCAGGTAGACCAGCCAGGAGGGAGTTGCAGTAGTCTAGGCGTGAGATGACGAGAGCCTGGACCAGAACCTGAGTCGCTTTCTGTGTCAGCTGGGGACGTATCTTCCTGATGTTGTAAAGCGTGTATCTGCAGCAACGGGTTGTAGCAGCGATGTTTGCAGTGAAGGACAGGTTGTTATCTAGGGTCACACCCAGATTCCTTGCAGTCTGAGTCGGGGAAACAACTGAGGTGCCAATGTTGATTGTTAGGTCAAGAGTGGGACAATCTTTTCCCGGAAGGAAGAGCAGCTCAGTCTTGTGAAGGTTGAGTTTGAGGTGATGAGCAGACATCCACTGAGAGATGTCAGCTAGACAAGCAGAGATGCGTGCGACGACCTGGGTCTCTGAGCGGGGAAAGGACAGAATTAATTGGGTGTCATCAGCGTAGCAGTGGTA